GAGAGAAGAGAGAGGCGAGAGGCGAGAAACGAGAAGAAAGAGAGAAAGAGAGGCGAGAAAACGAGAGAAGAGAGAGGCGAAGAGGCGAGAAACGAGAGAAAGAGAGAAGGCGAGAAACAGAGAAGAAGAAAGAAGAAAAAGAAAGAAGAAACAAGAAGAAGAAGAAAGGAAATTACGTGGATCGCGAGACGGAGAAGGAAATATAACCAATCAAGCTCCTTACAGCGGCGCGAGATCTACCATTCTGTGGCGAAAGAGAGAAGCCGACACTGATACCAGCTGAGGTTCAGAGAGTCCAGGTCGCCCTCCGTTTATTGCAGCTCGTATCGCCTGATCTGGCAAACTGCTTCACTTTTCTCCCGAGTCGGACTAAGGTTTTAAAGAAAAATCTTATCAAAACCTCGAAGTCTAATTAAGATCTACAATAAAAAAAAAACACTAAAAACGAAGAAAAAAAGTTAAAGGGAGTGAAGTGAAAAGGAAGGAGAAGGGAAGTGAAGAGAAGAGAGGGGGAGGGAGCGATAGAGGTAGGCCTCTCTCTCTTTCCCCTTTCTCTCTCCCCCGTCCTCGCCTCCGCTTGTCCTCCCCCCCACTCTCTCTCTCCTTTCCCCCCCCTCTCTGTCTCTTCTCTTTCTCTCCCCTCTCCCCCTCTCTCTCTCCCTCTCTCTCCCTCCCTCGCCTCTCTCCCTGTCCCACCTGCCACGAATAAAGTCTCCTGGAAAACGTCCGGGCAGAAAGAGCCAGTTGTGTCCAGCCTCCTGCTCCACAAAAGTACCTTTTCTTCCTTTTCTCGCGCTCTCTCGCTTTATCCGCCGTGCCCCTACATTACACTCGCGCCCCGCCTCTCCCTCTCGCCCTCTCGCCCTTCCCTCCCTCTCCCTCGCCTCGTCTCTCTCTTCTCTCTCTTCTCTTTTCTCATTCACTATCTCTCTCTTCTCTCTCTCCTTTCCTTTCTTCTCGCTGGTGCTCTTCTCCTCTCTCTCTCTCTGTCTCTCTCCTCTCTCTCTCTCTCTCTCTCTCTCGCTCTCTCTCTCTCTCTCTCTCTCTTCTCTCTCTCTCTCTCCTCTCCAATCTATTCATTATTTATTTAGCCTCTTTTCTCTCTCACTTCCTCTCCTCCTGTCCTCTCCAGCACGGCCTCCCTTCGCCCCCTCCCGCTCATCCTCTTTAATACGGGGTAACAGTCAAACTCTAGTGCCTCCTCCCCCCTCCTGTCCCTCCCTCCCCCCTCTTCTCTTCACTTCCCTTCTCCTTCCTTCGTTTCCACTCCCTTTAACACTTCCGTTTTCTTCGTGTTAGTGTTTCCTTTCATAATGAAGCAGTTGGAGATCGTAACATTTCGTTTATTTTCCCTTATTGCCAGCCCTCTTCCTCTTCCTTTTCTCTCTCTCTCTCTCTCTCTCTCTCGCTCTCTGACAAAACCGATTCGCTCATGGCCCTCACTCCCTCTCCCTCCCTCACCCCCCCTCCCTCTCTCACTCACTCACTCTCCCTCCCTCTCTCACTCACTCACTCTCACTCCTCCCTCTCCCTCCCTCCCTCCCTCACTCTCACTCCTTCTCTCCCTCACTCACTCCCTTTCTCGGTGGTTTTCAGAGTGCCAGCTGCTCGGACG